GAGAGAGAGAGAGAGAGAGAGAGAGAGAGAGAGAGAGAGAGAGAGAGTCCTTCTTTCATAACCACTTTTTATTGACCTAGATGGAAAACATTATGAGATCGAGGAAAGATGTGAGAGAAAAGATTCACAGTGCTGAGAGAATCTGACTGGAAATGCATTCATGTAAATATGTCCACATGAATGTTAGTTCATCAGAAAATCCAGGACAAGATATATAATACAATAATGTACTGTGATTACAAATCACAAGACACAAGAACAAAACACAAGAAGACCTATGTGTTTGTGCTCCAGTGAAAATAACGAGAATGAAAATACTAAATAGATTGTATATTCAAAGCAAACACTGGAAGTCAGTGATATTTAATCTTTTCATGTGTTATAGAGGTCATTTGTTTGTGTAAATCTGGTTTGAATTCATTTCAGATTCTAGAGGTTTAAGAAACATGTGGAGTATCTCTCCATGATCATTTCTAACAGAGATTTCTTCTTTCAGCACACCGGCTTTGTGTATGAAAAAATAAATATTTGTTAATATTTTTTTCATTTTATTATTTGGGCATAATCTATCACATACAATCCAGCATTAACTCTTGAATTAATTTCCTGAATATCGTTGTAGAACATGTAATAAACAGATTTACTGTTGTTTGTACAGAAAACACATGTATTATTATTTTCAAACCCAAATGTTTCTGATGAAATAGAAAAACGTTGGTCAGGAGTTATTAGCAATTAGCAGTGAGATGGCAATTTCTCCTCATGGCATCAATCTCTCTGTTTATGGCTGTTTAACTGCACCCACACAGTCCTATGAGATCTAGAAGCTGCAGTTGCTTATGCATGCTCGTTACTGCTGTTTGTTTGATCTGGTTTTATGTGGCGAAGACATATAGATAGGTGAGTGCATGTGACCACATAATAGACAATCCAAGTGTGTGTGTGTGTTTGTGTGTGTGTTTTCCCCTGAGACTGTTTTCTCTCACCTGCCAGCCATCATAACATGATTCAGCTCTCAGACATCCACAGACTGAAACGTGAAAATGTTACATTGAATGTTGCAGTGTGTTGATCTGCTCTCCTGGAGAGACCTCCTGGGGGTCTCTGTAAATTAAAGAGTACGGTCTCGACATGCTCTACATGGAAAGTGTCACGTATAAATAAAATTGACTTGAATTACCCTAACCCGTGCTCTCGACAGGGACTCAGAGTCAGCTAAATCTGGAGCGTTCTAAGAGTCGAATGGGAACCTTTGTGGAGGGCGGACCGATGGCTGAGACCAACCCAGATGAGGGGTACGTGGACGATATTATATATGTGGGGATTTTTTTTCCATATGCAATTAATGTGGATTAGAGCAAGAAGCGGGTTGACATTCATAAAGTGCAAGAAAGGTAACGTCCCATTTAAAGTCTCCTCTGCTGTCATCTTCTAACACTAAAGAACATGTCACCTTAACCGAGTGGTTCCTCTCCCTCCATTCATCCTCCTCCAGCAGGATATTTGCTATGTCAGTTTGAGCTCTTTAAATCATTGCAAAGACAGTTCGACCTCTGAACTTCTGAACTCGTTATTACTGATTTATTTACATACAACTTACTGAATTTGTTGGCCTATTAGGCAACACTTGCCCATTGTATCTTCCTGACATTTATAACTGCCAACCTGGTGGCCTATTTATTTATTAATGATATATTAATGACTTATTTGACTTAACAGTGGTGACATTTTCAGATCATCAACCTCACCAGAATCGAAATGCTGCATTCATCATTGACTTTCCCTTGATCGTTTCAACATTAGAATATTTTCACACACTGACTTTGTCATTTGTTGACCTAATACTGCGAGATTGTTTTGGATGCATCACAAATCCACATGTAAATGCCCCAACATCAATGAACTGAAACTTTAAAGACTTTTAATGACACATGAAGCTGAGTGTTAACGCTGAACTGCCCTTATGAAGTGGAACAAGCGCTTTGACTTACTATAGTAACACAGATTTTTCTAGGATAATGTTCAGGAGTCATGCTTTTATTTCACTGTAGTGAGATCATGACGCCCTGCCAGACGGAGACGTCAGAGCAGTGCAGTGATTTGACCTGCACTGTTTAGATGTGTGTGTCGGCAGTCTCTCTCAGAGTCAATTTCGGGTTTAAGGCGGTCACTGCAAGGCATGAGATTGATCTCCGCGATTTGATGGCTTATTAATTGTATTCGATGTTGCTCTTTTTTGTGATGTGTCCAGTAACCTTTTCTTTATGCCGTAGTTTAAAAGAGAAGGTGTTGAGGTGCCAAAAAACGTAGTTTATGTTGACAAGATGAAGCTGTTGCACTAATTCATGGACAAAATGATTAATCGCTAAATATAAAGGGCGTGGTGGTGATTAAGCCATGCTACATGAGGGACTATATTTCTGTATTCTCTGCACTCATATATTATTTCTATCACAGAGCTAAATTGTTGGTAGATCAGCAAACGAAACACCTCACATAAGAACATGTGCTTTTGTGTTGCCTGTACAAGGGAACATTACAAAGTATCACCTCCTTTCACAGTCACTTTGGACGTTTGGATATCCATATAACAAGCATTTTTACAAACCTGTGACTGACATATATGAAAATTTAAAATAATCATTTGTCAAAGCTTGATATTGTTAAATTGAGACTAGTTTTCTTACTTCAGCTTCATATGATCCACAGTGACCACAAATTGTGTGGGACAATCATGTAAAATGTATGTTGTGTTCATTTCATTGCATTAGTCACATACCAACACGAATTATGCAGAGCAGTCTTTTCAAAACTATAGGATACATTTTTAGATGACTTCGGGGAAGAACGTAAGACGGGTTGTCCCAAATTGAGGGAAGACATAACACAACAGATAAAGACAGACAAATACTTTTCTAATTTCTAATCTTCTAATTTTGCCTCGAGATGTTTTAGTTCAGCTTCATCAGACACAATACATCATCCCTTTGCTTACGTGAGTCCTGCTCTGGTGTGTTGCAGGACATCTTCAGACATGCCAGACATCTTATCGAGACGGAAACTTAAGCAGCCGTCTTCTGATCAAGACCTGCCATGATGTCATCACATGACCTGACGGACCAATTTTATTCAACTTCCCTGCTAAATCTTCGTCATTAAGTGGCTTTCAAAGGTGGGGCAAAAGATAATGGTCTTCTGTCGAATTGTGGCTCAAACTGAACGTTTGTTGAGATGACCTCATGACATTGTACTTGTGTGGCCTAATAAACACCTCCAAAGATTAACTCGCGAGTGCAAGAGAAGTATTTCCAAACTTCCTGCTAATGAGTGAATACAAAGTAAGCCAAGTAGTCCCACTTGTGTGCAGCTCATCTCACCGCCTCACAATGTCTTCAGCCGCCAATTAAGAAATGGTAACGGTCGTTATGTGACGATGGGACTCGTACAAGATTCGGCTCAAGTTCCCCTGCTCGTATTTGCCATGAGCAAAACAAATTGGAATACACGTGCGCAGACAGACCGACACACAAACAGCTACATCCTGTTGCACGCGCACACTGAACTGCACCCCCGCAGTGAAACGTAATACATTGATATTCAGGATGGCACAGGCAGAATGACTGCTGCATGGGGAAGAATGCTGCGCTCTGACAAAAACTGTGGCGTGCTGCGAGCATGAATTGTGTCAGCAACGGTAGGCAGAGGAGTCTGCAGGAGTTTTTTAAAGAGATTTTCGAGGTATCAATCTAGAATTGCCAAATGCAATAACTGTGAATTGAATTTCAATGGTCGGGTTGTAAACCAAAGGCTGCATAAATGGTCTCAGCAAAAAAATTGAAGAGTTAAGAGGTCATGCTTTATTCATAACAACAGATTCCGGGTTGCCAGGTGGTGTTTATCCTCCTCCAGCACGACATTTGCTATGTCAGTTTGAGCTTCTGAACGCTTTATTAATGATTTATTTACATACAACTTACTGAATTTGTTGGCCTATTAGGCAACACTTGGCCATTTTATCTTACTGACATTCATAACTGCCAACCTGGTGGCCTATTTATTTATTAATGGCGTATTAATGACTTATTTGACTTAACAGTGGTGACATTTTTCACCGCTTGGCAACCCTAAATTAGTTCTAATTAATTACTTTATTTTTACATTTAATTGATTTATTAACCTTTAATTAAGCCATTAATTCCAATTTATGACTCCTCTATAGAAAAGTGGCATCATATTATTTAATGGTATGACTGAAAACACCTTAACAAAGAAACCGACTGTAAATTAGATTAAAGAAAAAATAATTTGAGGCTTTAATTTTAAAATGTAATTTAAAGAAAAATCAGCAACAAGTAAAGGGGAGCTAGTGAGCTACAGGCACGGTGCAACAGCATTCACCTTCATCATCTCCTCCACACACACACACACACACACACACACACACAAGGATGGCTGAGGAGGAGACAGGGGAGTCGCATCCAGAGGTTCACAGAGGAGAGAAGATGCTCTCCGCGGCGGATCAAAAATGTATGCAATAATGATCTGACGACATCACACCCACCACCGGAGAGACACCTCGCCTGTATTAGCGGTTCCCCGGTCCCCGGTCACCCCCACCCTTCGTTTTCGTAGCAGGAATGACCTCGCCGGTGCTGCTGCGTGCGTCTCGGTCCACATCGGGAGCAGCGCGCAGTCTGTGTGCCAACTCAGAAGTGATGCCATCTCAGTCACCTAAGAGATCTGTCCCCTCGTCTCCTCGTGGTGTGTTCCTCAGCAGGTCGGATCGCGTTGCTTTTTGTGTTTCCATGGCCACCGATTGAACAGCTGTCATGACTTGTGCCCTCAGCGCCGCGAAGCCGCGAAGGCAGGATGAAGACCCCTCGTTTGGTGTTTATGCGTCCTTTCAACCTCTCAGCAATTACGCGCGGTAATTAGACATGGGAATCTCGGCGAAAATCTACTGATTGGACAATGGAAAGACCTGCAGTGCATCGACATACAGGGTAAGATGATTTTTTTTTACGGGTTAATTACACATCTGTGCCGTACATTTAAATGTGTTCTAAGCAAAGCCTAGTTCATAATTAAACTGTACTGTTTGTATTTGCATGCGTGGTCATTGTTTTACTGATATACACATTTACAAAAAGGATATCCTTTCCCCACACCCCCTTTCTTCATTTGCACTGTATGCTCCTGAATGGACGCATGCTGGAATGACAGGGCTGATTAGATTGCAACTAAATACTGAAAAGCCATTCACACCATGGCCTTGCTGCCACGAAATGAAGCAGCTGCAGTGCCATTGCACACATTTTACAGACCTATCGAATGAACAGCAATTATGAACAAACGTGTTTAATTATTAAGCAGTATGACTTTTTTTTTCAATATGGTGGTGCAAGAGTCACAGGGTGCATGCATCTCATTAATATTGTAATGCAACAGTGTAGATGGTTAAATTCCCAATTAACGGTCCCACCAATTTATTTCAATGTTTTTTGTTTGTTTACCTGAGGTATAATGTGCTCTGTACTTGTCGTGTGTGTTGTTGTACATGGAAATTGTGCAAAACAAGCAAAATCCTATTTAAAACATAGTCCAGTTGATTTAAATGCTCAGTATTTTCAGCAGTCCTTCCCCGTATACGTGTGAGACAGGCTTCTGGTGTCTCTATGATATAAACCACAGCAATACTGAGCCAACCGTAACACTCACCTGCATAGTGGCCAGTGTATTCAGCTTTTAGCTGATCAGATTTTATTCATGACATGTGTAATTTATAGGAGTAGCAGGGCAGAGTGATGCATGTTCAGAGCTCATTACACAAAGTCTCTCAGGGAGTACACAATGATCATTAGATATTTGTTCAGTAACACTGGTGGACCGAACAAGAGCAGGGTTATCAGAGGCAGAGTGTTTCTTTCACTGTGTGTGTGTGCATCCAAAAGGATGCTCTTACAGCTGTTATGTTTTGTCATTTACAGACAAAGATGTTACCTGGCTGTGAATTTGTTTAAACATTGCCATGGGGAAGAGTCTGGACTGAAACACGGAGAGATTTGATAACACAGTGGAAGAGAGAGAGCTCGGGAGGAGAAGACATGGTCATCACTGATAGAAACACTGGCACCCCTGTACCTAAAAAGGAGCCCCAGAAGAAGACGAGGAGGACGTCTCGCCCTCATGGCCTACCTTCTCCGGCGCTCTGCTGTGCCTGCGGCCTGTGCATCATGCTGGCTGGACTCAACATCACCCTCGTGGGAGCGTTCGCCTTCAGCACGCTGGTGCCTTCTGCCAATCCCCCGATCATCATCGGACCGATCCTTCTGCTGGTGGCCTTCTCCTTTTTCGGGGCCTGTTGCGTGTGCAGCCGCCTCCCCCCTCCCCACAGCTCACGGAGGTCCAAGGTGGGCGGCAGGGGCGCGGGGCTGATGGGACACGGCGGGCTGGCTGGTGGGGCAGCGTTTGAAATAGAGGTCAGCGAGCACACGCTGCAGGATACCACAGCTGTGCAGCTCAGCCCCACGTCATCCCCGGGTTCGTCCCGGGCATCCAGCCCAGAAAAGGAGGCTCCCGACATGGCCCTACCAGGACCCTGCAAGCTCTTCACCATGGAGACCAATGGCCCCCCTTCTGGTTCCGCCACCGCAGTCTACTCAGCCTCCACGGCAGCAGGAGGGGAGGTGAGGCTCAACCTGCCGCGTGAAGAAGTGGTCGCCTATAGCAGAGCAGAAACTCTTCCAAGGCCGGAGCTGCCAGTGTAAATATCCTTCTGGGCCGAGGGCTTGCTGGATGTGATCGTGTCCTCTAGTTTACGTTGTGCCATATTTCTGGTTGTGTACAGAATGCTTTTGATTTTCTTGCTGTGCAGCGAACTGGTAATTAGCATGCAAAGTTAATGAAACATCCAAGTGTTTGTGGATCATAAGATTTTAAGACCGCTCTTGTGCTGTTCGTTTGTTTTCCCCTACATGGTATTTGTTTTTTAACATGGGCCATTATGAACAGTCTATCAACAACTTTTATCTTTCACTGCTACGCACCCATCAGCAGTGATTTCAGAGGGCTGGAATGAAAAATATTGATTGTTCTGAACACGTTGGGATTAGATGTGAAAGGTCAACAGTGAACTGTGCCGGTACGTCTGTTGTGACATTTGACATTTTGTGTGCCATTCTCAGTGCTGAACTTGTTTTGGGGGCATAAGATATTTTAAGTCACAGAAGTCCCAAAGCAATATTCTCTCACCTGAGAATAAATGATCTGCAGTTATAGTTCTTTTCACAAGTAAGAATACACACTTCTTGTCTACAGCCAATACCTTTGTAATGAATAACGGTCCATATTGAACAGCTTGTTACAGTATATTTACATGTACAGTGTATGATGTCGGATCGTGGAAACATCAACATTTTTGTCATCGCGCCAACATCAACACATCACCACTTTCTTTTCTGATTTCACATTCAGTTTTCATTGAAGGTGATCACAACTCACAGTTTTAAGGGCACGTTCATCATGGCATTTACAGTCATTCATAAACGGTGCAATGCAGTTAAGGTCGCGTTCCAAGCGGAGTAGGGCCATACCTCACCGTGAAGCACACCAATGTGTCATAACGACGATTTTGTCATCACGAATTTCAATTCACGGTGGGACTCCACGCAGGAACAGTTTACAAATGTGAACATGTGAATGTCACAGTACTGAATTCTTATTCTTAACGTCTGATGTGATAAACTTAGAACTTAACCGCCAATGAACTTTGTATGCACGACAGAGGCAAGCCAAGAAGTCTGACATAGTTTAGATATTCAGATTGCATAAAAAGAACTAATTCCCCATCACTGTGATGTCTTCTTGTCAGTTAGGAACTCGACTGGTCAAAAGAGACATTCCCTGATTTCCTTTGAAAGGAAAAGTTGCCTTAGACTGAACTATCAGGATCAAACCAATGAGGGCTATAACAAAAGTGCACGATAGCATTTCTCTTCAGAAAGCTCTGGGTTTTTATTCCATATTATTAGAAAAGACTCGACACGTTTTTTTAGTTTTTTTGTGGGTATTGCAAATGCATGCAAACGGCTTAAATGTTCCATCCCCGCATAAATGTATGTGGAGCAGCAGAAGAGTGGACACGTGCATACGGACACAGTTCAGTGAACCGAGCATTCCCTTAAACAGCGTGAACCTCCATGCTTTGTGACAGGGAAACCGGTCCTCAAGGACCGGTTTCCCTGTCAAAGCCGCCTGACGTGCTGAGCTTACTTTTGCATGTTCGGAGAACTGCCTCATGGAAATGCACAACACCCCGTTGTGAACTATCGGTGTTATCTGTGTAATTTGTGTAGCACTTCGACAAAAATCTGGGAAAATGTACGGATAGAATATTTTTGTGAAGATTATAATTTGTTTATTTTCAAAAGTGACGATCCAAATGTGAATCCTTCAAAAGATATAAATAAAAAAAAGGCTCTTTCATTAGAACATGAGGTTGCTCATTATGTATGCATGGCACAACACCGTGTTCCTGCTACACTGCGTTTTGGTGTCATCATGAAGTGAAATGAATAAAAATGTCAAACTGGATTGGTTATATGTTTAAATTTCAAACAAGTTCAGTGTAGTCTTGTAGGATAGCAGCCTTTCCTTTGGGGCATGATTGTCTTTACAAGCATTATTTATTCCAAGAGGTAATCTGTAAAGATTCTATAACAGTAGTTATGGGAAAAATCAGAAACGATCCCCCAGAAGTGTCAGAAAGAAGGTCCTTCCATGCCAAACCATCCTCTTGTTCACCGGAAACAAGGCTCCTTCCAGTGTCACATCTAGAGATGCAACTAACGATTATCAACTGATCAGCTTGTTGTTTCAGCCCCTGTGGCATCGCCCTCTGCAGAGAAACATCTCAGTCCGGCTCGTTGAAAACTTGTTCTGAAGACGCGAACAGGAAAAGCTCCTCATCCTTTAACACATCACATCAAGATGCCCTTGAGAAAGAACTCAATATGAGCTCCATCTGGCTCCTCTACAAGCGTGTAAGTGTGTTTAAAGCTTTTATCACTGGAGGGCGCCAGGGCCACGTCTATGAGTTTCAGCTCAAAGTTACATAAAATGCGGCTGTCGTTTCTTCATCGAGGCAGTAGGTGTCAGTAGATCATAACAAACCTCTGTTGGCTGTGTACAGTAGTAGATTGTGTCAAAGTGAATTTGCGGACATTGTCAACAACATATTGAATATTGGTAGGCACAATCATGGCATGTTGATTGCTGTGTTCGCAAAGCATTGTGTTGAGAAGTTTGCCAAAAGTGTCAGTGCTTGGGGAAGATTTCTTCTCGCTGTGTGAGAGTCGGGTGTGATTTGCAATCTCACAGCTGAAGGCACTGATGACACCAATGTGATTTTTAAAAATGCAACGATGCTGATGAAGCTCCCCTTTCTGCTCATGGAGATGATGACGGCACAGATCTGGCGTGGCCTACTTTCTGCAGTGGCCTAACAGACGACAAAACAGAATCCGGATCTTTCCCTTTGATGTCAGAAAAGGCTCCAAAAAAACTACTGATTTCAATCTCACAGTTGAGTTTGTGATAAATGTTGGAACAGTGTGAGTAACACGCAGTGTGATTCTTGATTGACAGTAAAGATTAAAGGCTGTAGGGATTTAGACATGTTGATTCATAAGGGGATTTTTTGTCGATATATAAATCCAGTTTACTTTGGTAGACTTATAATAAGTATGAAACCAACAAAGATTGTGTGTGACCCATTTATCAGTTCTGCTCCTATGATACCAGATGCATCTTAACGTACAGTAACAGAGGGGTAAGAACACTGAGGCTGTCATATCAAGGGTTTTTTCTGTGTTACACATGAAAACTAACAGAAGCGCTGCACCATTCAAACCCCCTGTTTCCTCACCTTTCAACTGCTTCCAGGTTCATGTTGCGTTACAAGCGTGAAACATTGTTCCCTGCCTCTTCTGCCTGTTGGCCTTCACCGACGAGACTCATAAAACATATTAAATGTTTAGTCAGCTGGAGGTTGGACGATTTATTGCCTTCTGGAGGTGCACAGTTTTATAGGGGAGATGCAGCCTGAGGAGGATATTCCCATGTTTATGCTCTTGTAGAGCAAAGGTCAGGGAGACGGGTCATGGTGTACCGCTGCAGTTAAAGCTTACTTGTCACAAAAAAGGGCGATAAATGCAAGTCACCATTTGCCCTTTAAACCCTCCCTTGTGTCTTCAGACTTTTTTTTATAAGCACTTTAATTGAAAAAAGCTTTGATTTCCACAAAAAGTCGGCCCCATGCTCTGTGAAACCTGTGAAAAGACCACTTTCCCTCGGCCTTTCCAACCCTTTTTTGTATCGGCCAAATACTGGTTTTACAGTTCCTCAGTAAGACTGCAGACTGCTGCTAAAATGAACTTTGTTTGATAGCTCTCTGTCTTATGCCAAATTACGGGTAATGATAAACTTTCTCAGCAGACACTTAACCTGAATTTCTCTTCTTTTCACAGCAGCTATCAAATGTACCCTGTGACTGGAAAATGTTGGCGCTACAAACAGACCACTGTTTTTTGATTTCTGTCAGAAAACCAAAGAGAAAAACATTTAAAGGGGCACATGCTGTAGTAAACGTTGACACTACCACTGCACCTTGCATCCATATTGATGAATTGCAGGAACACCTCCAGCATCAGTAGGCTTCTCTCAGCACCACAGTGTTACTAAAACCACCGACAGGCTGCTGTTACGTCAACTATTATCAGAGTACAGTCTATCTATGTTGACAATATTTGAGCAGATTGCAATGTCCGCCTTGTTCACACAGATATCAAGTCATCAGCAGGTATGACTGACACAGATGTCCGCCATGCTAAGATACGGTGTAAACAACTGGAAAGGTCTGGAGATTGTAGAGGCAAACGTACACGGCCAACCTCAGATGCCTTTATGACGAGATGCTGCACACTGACAAAAAACACTGCTGCAGCCACACACACACACATACACCTGCAATCACAAGCATCCCGTCCGCTCTGAACCGGAGCGTGGCGGATCTCGACGCACTGTTCATGTGTGGATGTGCAACAATCTCAGTCGAATGAGTCGGCAGAGGAGGGGGATGGAGGGTGTAATCAAGCAGAACAGATTAGGGGAAGACGAGCTGCTGAGGATCTATGGGAGCAGACACTGGTTATGTAACCCTAACCCAGTTCACTCCGCTTCCAAAGGCGGACTGGGAGGAAGGAGATGTGGGGATTTACTGATGGGGTGAATCCTTGTGTTTGAACTGAAATGAATGTGGCCGTCGCTTATCTGCACGCACTGTTGCTTCAGATGACAATCGATGTCATATTCTTATATAAACTCAGTTTCACCAGGTCAACAAGGAGGTTACCAATTGTTTTTGTCAGAATAAAAGCATTGACCTTATTTAGTGCAGGAGGAAATGCCAATGATTCTGTTGTTATTGACTCAGTGTCCACCTTTGGTTATTGCTTCATTTCACTGGTGACTATGCAGCAACCTATTTTAGGCCCTCCCTGCGACCCTGCAAGTGTTTACTCAAGATTGGTAACAGAGTTCTCAGAGTACCGTTGAACATGTGATTTAATCTGAAAACATATCAGGTAAACTTCATTCTGAGGGGTGTTTTGGTCCTCCATGTGCCATGCATGGGTGGGCCTCGTGACTGCTGGCTCTCTCTGACTGGGCCAGTTTGAGGGTGACATAGAGAAGAAAGCTCCTCACAGATACAGCAGATTTTGATTGAAGCCAACGAAAGGCCTAATACTAACGCCACGGTGCTCTGCATATCAATGGCCTCTGACAATGTGTCCCTCGCCATTCTTCACTCCTCCATTCACCCTCAGTAAATGGCACTTTATTCAAGTGGCCGGGCTGTTGCATAACCTCGCTTTTCACAAATCTATATGTGGGCCCAGGGAGAAGGAAATGTACACAGTAGAGCGCACAGAGAGAGGATTCCAGTGCAGTTCAGAGGAAAATATCAAAGCACAGGAAAACGTTGCATGTAACAGTGTGACCCCCAGGACACGGCCTGATGTGCATTAATGCAGGGCCGGTCTAATCAATCACTCTTCCTTATACCCAGCCATTAACAAAGCCAATCAATGTTGTTTTCGGCTGCTTCGGTGACACTCGGCTATCATGCACACTTCTGTGGAGATTTAACGCAGGTTTCCTGTCACCCAGTCTTTGACCTGTTCTGTGAATATTACCCTTTTGCATGCGGCCCACTGTTTAACCAAGCAAATCGATAGACGGACTGAAAATAGAAAGGCGGTGTGGCAATATTTAAAGGTGACTACTGGATAAATATTCAACTTGTGAGTCCATCAGCAAGCGAGGCCACGTAATAAACATTACAGAGGGGAGTTGCATATGATTCATGGGATGTACTATTGTGAAAAGTACATCCCTGGTGGGAATCCAGGTCAGACAGCATGTGCAGTACAGTGTTGCAATGGATAATGTTTGATAAGACAAAATTAGTCCACTGAATGCTGGGATATCTTGGGGTACACACATTTTGGTAAACAACATGCTGTACCAGTGGATTCCGGCAGAGGCCCTCATTTTTCAAAGAAATACAGGGGCAAAGGATGAACAACACTTCTCTGCAGCAGACTGCTTCAGACCGGTTTGTGTGCTCCACGTGAAAGGGAGGTTGTTACACTCGGAAATTAAACATTGGACTCAGCTGTCAGCTGTTTCTTTGCTTTACTGTACCACTATGATGTTAGCAAGTCAAGCACCTCCGATTGTTTTATATGCATTAGAGTTGCATAAAGGGAACTCCCATGATGCAGTAAAGGCAATCTTCTGTCATTAAAGTGCCGTGCAAATAGCTACTCCTTGTGCCTTTGTCCCTGCATGCTGTTACGTCTCCTTTTGTGGTTTCGTAATGCTTTGATAATAGTCATGTCATGTGGGACATCTCACTGGAGAAAGGACGACAGGTAGACACTTAAATATTTATTGCATGGAATAATAATGATGTGATCAGTAAGAGGAGACGGCCGAGGAATGACCCTTGATTCAATGAAAGGCCTCATCTCTGGATGTCTATGAACCACGTGTTGCGTATCAGGTATTCAGTAAGTCGCCTTTAAATAAATGATGACAGGCTGATCTTTGGTGCACATAACAGAACACCCGCCCCCACAACGCACTACCAAAGCACACCAAAGTGACTGAAAGTCTTGGAAGAAAATGTCTGATTAGCTGGTGGACACTGGCCACCTGTGGAAGAGAGGAAGCCCCTTTCTGTTGTGCCGTCCAACAGGCCGGTTTCATTGCAGAGAATCCGTTTGCCATGGCAGCGGCTATTGGCACACACGGCACTGTGGGGGGGGCGGTCTGTGTCAGCACTCATTACCATCCACCGCCTTAGTGGACGTCTCTTCCAGGAGTCCTTTAGAAATAAGTAAAAGAGAGATGCTTTACACTTTAATGACTTTCCCACAGTGGCTCTCCAAAACAACAGCTCCCCTTAAATTGCCTGGAGGAGAGTCCCCACTGCTCAACAGAGGAGAGGAAATACTGATTCCACTGTCCGTCCACTCGGCAAGGCCAGCCAACAAGGGAAGGGGGGGGGGGGGGGATAATCAGGTCTTTATGTGGCATAGGGCCTACAGGGGACAGCCTTGGTATTGTCCCCACGGCCCCCGTCTCTTATCCCGGTTTGATTGTTCCTCTGAATCCGACACATGGTCACGTTGTAAAACCCCCACAAACCCAAACCAGGGTTTGTGGGCCTACTTTCACCAGCGAACCCTGACCCATCATCCAGCGGAAGTCCAGCTTAAAGCAAACAGACAGCCTTTTTCCAGGTACTTGTTTTTGTTTGGATCTCCTGTTGGCATGGTTGGAAAAGTAAATATCCAGAGCAGTGATTGACATTGACCATGGCCACTGTCTCTTTCCAAAAAGATTTTAGTCTGTTTTGCTGGAGTTGCCTGTTGACAGAAGACCGAATGGACGATTACCAAAGTGGGTCACTGGACATAGACACATTTCTACTAAATGGAAACAGGAAAGTACTGTCAACAACGGTCGCTCCAAACAAACAATCCACATGTCACACGATGAATGTCGATTTCAAAGCCAGTTGTATAACCACTGAGATGTATCATGCAGAGTTGGTTTCCTTCTCCAACTTTAATCACCTAGAACTGTTTATTAAAATAGATCACCGCGTTGCTGCCTAAATAGCTATTTTTAAATCAGTGAACATGTTAAGCCTGTGGACAGTATTTGGTCTTTATAAAAAATGTTCTCTAAATTATCAGGTTATCATTTAATCATTGTTTGATTTATCAGTCATCATTCATCATTCTGCAAACAAATCAGATGCAAGCCGGTGGTCAGCAGCAAAGCAGGCAATGCTTTGCTTAACTTATAATATACTCCTTATACTCCTGGTTTGAGACTTGATAGTTCTTCAGCTTGCACAGGTGTTGAGTCAGCTTCACAATCCACATTATTGCCATCGACGTGTGGTCATAACTGACCCAAGGTTCAAGGTTGTACAAGTAAACAACATTAATTTTAGCGGTGACTTTAAGTAAATAATTCTGTCTTTCAGTTTTGACGTGTTCTTTCTGCAAGGTGTCAGCAAACAAGCACTGTTAAAGTG